CCCCAAAACCCCAAAACCCCAAAACCCCATGAAGAAAATAAGCATTTTTAATGATTGTAAGGATTAATTAATAAATAATTCTATTTTTTTCATTGCAACAATTAACCGATCAGTCCTCTTCGGTTTTCTTTTGATTCCTTGATAATTAATGAGCACCATATAATATAAAAGCATTAATGGTGGTAAAAACAGCAAAAGCCATTAAATTGAAGTATATCATAATTATGAAGGCGTACCTCTTTGTACTAACTCTCTAAGCATCTTTAAATCCTGATATGTATGTAGGAGATCTGCTAGAATCAAAGATCTATGCATCAACATTATCATCTACCCATTTATATACCACTCCACTCACTTCATTATAGAGATTAATCTGAACATAAATCATCATAGCGAAATTCATTACTGAAAACAAAAACATTATCTTCTAAAGATGCTTGGTTTAGTCATGTGATGAACCATTTACTCTCAATACATCTTCACCTACTAATGAGAGTGCCATGATATTAGCTTGTGTTATTTCATCTTGATTTATCATCTGCTTCTTAGTCTCCAATTATTTCTTTTAAATCGCATTCACTAGTGGTCTTAGAGTCTTGAAACATGTAAAACCCTGTATAAAGATACTTATGAAGAGGATCATACTGATCTAGATACAGCTTCCAATTACTTTCTCATTGAAATCTATAAATACACTTGCTTTTTCGTTTGCATACTTAAATATCAAAGGAGTGGTTCCTATTTCATAGCTAATGAAATCTTGATAAGATCTACCCAGCAGCAAATCAACTATCAATAGTATACCTGAGAAGGCCATGGCAATTCCTGCAAATACAGTTAGTACCCGAGACCAAGTATATATCTTCTCTTCTATTTTATAAATTCGTTTTTATTCTGGAGTCAAATTCAATTTTCTTTTTTTGCGCATTTTTTCTGAAGTTAATGTATCATCATCATCTTAGTAGTAATCTGAGTCATCATAAAAATTTTGATTGCTAGTAAAATTAGATTATGAGTCTTTTTTCTAAGTCTTGGTGTCCATTTTATCAATTATAAATATATTATAAAGTTCAGGATTACATCAAACTCTTAATTGATAAAAACAGACGCAACATTATCATTAAGGGGTTTTGGGGTTTTGGGG